CGCATTTATTAAAACCAGCGGTGAAAATAATTACCATCGTCGGTTCTCGTTACCAACCAGCGGTGAAAATGGGGCTTATTTTCACCGTCAGTAGGTAACACTAACCGGCGGTGATAGTCCATCATCATCGTTGGATGGTGACAACAACCGGGTGGTAAGGGGTACCTCATCATCATTAGCTCGTAATTCAGTCCAGTGGTGATAACCATGGTGCAACACAGTAAAACTAATAACATTTCTAAATCAAGTCAGACTGTGATGAACTTTATATCGAAGTTATAGCTCCGATGAGATCTACAACTTTTTTGTTGACAAACTTTTTCATTTGAAATCTCTTATGATCCTATAATTCTATTTGAAGTTCTCATATTTTGAAATTCAAAATTTCAAACGACCTCAGCTGAAAAAAATGACTAGCAAAGATGTAATACTAGATGAGATCTAAATCTTTTCAGTTAAAAAAATTTCATTTGAATTTATTTAGGGCCTCAAGTATTTGCTACTACCCCAGTTCCAAATTATAATTCGTTTGACTTTTTTGACTGAAAGTTCGACCACTCGTCTTATTCAAAAAATATGTGTAAATATACGCAAATTTAAGTCATACTTGAAGAACTTTTATTAATAAAGCAATTCACAACAAAAGAAATGATATTTTGCACAAAATTTTGAATAAGACGAGTGGTCAAATATTTGGTCAAAAAAGTCAAACAAATTATAATTTAAAACGAAGGGAGTACGATATAACAAAGTCAATACAAAAGAAAAATGCCATCCAATTGGTTAATAAGTGACTTTGGGGTGGAGGGTTACGACGCGCAAGACCACAAGTTGCATGTTTAAATCCTGCTGGTTGCACGTCCACGTATTTGACGCGAAAAATCCTTGTAACTTGCTTGGTGGGGGCTTTCCTCGGTTTTTTTGCATTTTTACAGAGATTTTATATTTTGCCCGTCGTCGTGGGGAGGTCCTTCTACGGTGTCTCAGCTTGTGCAACTGTCGTCCATCGTGTTGCGTCGAACCCTAGGTTAGCGTCGACCTTCTAGATAGGTCAGCGTGGGTCCCATGTGGCCGGCGCAAGCGATAGTGCCACCGTTTGCCATGCCGGAGCACGCGGGGAAGGCCGAGGACATTGCCGTTGTAAAGAGGAGAAAGATCCGAGGGTTCTGTTGTCTATAGAAATAGTAACGTGGATTGCGGGGTGTTTTACTCATAGTCTAGGGGCGTTTTTTCAAGAGTGCCGGCGCGCGCGGGCTTCCTCGCCGTGGGCCGCCTCACGCTACAGGCCAGCCTCGCGTGGGCCACGCCTGTGGGCCACCACACGCTCGCGCGCGCGTGTTAGGCCGAAATCAGTTTAGTTTTTTCGTGGAGAATAGAAATAGATTTTTATTTTAATTCTGAACTGAACTTTGGTAATTAATATAAAATAATATAGGTATCCAAAAATTGTGAAAGAAATTTTGTTAAGTTTCTAAAATTGTGCTCTATTTGTTAGTGTATTTGGTTCATATATATACATGTTGATACCAGGAGCTATTAAATCATTTGAGAGTGCTTAATATTATTAGGTTAAATATTGTAGGAATTTTTGTGGCGAAATGGCAATAGCTTTAGCTTTGAAAATTTTATAATAACTTCATGTTATTATTATGTGCTCACTATAATTTTTGTAGATTTAAAATAGACTTAACATAAGGATAGTTAAATGCTCTTTTCTTTAAATATACATTAAATCATTAGTAGAAATTAAGATATATCCTTTATTTGTAAAGCTAGTTGTTTGTTAGTTAAATCCAACACTTTACTTGATGAAGATGATAGTTAGCTTAGTATCTTAATCATTAGAGCTAGCTTAGTAGTTTACCATATGTATTCTTATTTTAAGAGCTGCTGTTGCTAAAATACTAAGTGTTGCATCATCATCGCATGCATGTAGATAACGAGTTGGCGGAGATCGTGACCATCGGAGGCCACAAGTTCGAGGAGGTGATCGAGGAGTATGAGGAGGAGATCCTCGTGTAGGAGGAGGTCTCGGAGCCACCACTAACTGACTGAGCTGACACCCCGCCTGCCCAAGGCAAGCCCCGGTGCATAACCTTTATTTCGAATAATCATTGGATATATATATGTGATGTGCATTTACGTTATAGGATTTATATTGAATTATACATAGATAAACCTACCTATGAGTCATACTAGCATAGGTCGAGTAGCTGCTATGCTTAGGCTATCAGTAGCATGAGTAACATGCCGTTACCCGCAATAAGTGATTATTATTATCACTCTCATAATAAAATAGTGAAAGGAAAAATGGAGACCAGGCAGGGATATGGTACGAGTATTGGTGGGTGTAATAGGTTGTGTCCCACGGCCAACGGGGCATAGCTTGGTTGCACTGTTTTTTCTGTCCGTGTCGGTTAAGGACTGACCGTTGCATTGGATTCTAGTCAGGTCACAGACTTGTTATTCTGAGCACATACTTATTTATGGGAGCAGAGAAGGCTCGTTGCTCTCTTGTCGTGGGTTCCGGCTCTTTTCGGACCGACTAATTGAAGGCAAGGATGATGGAGGTCTAAGCACCATACTGAGTCCGGGACTCAGGTGTAGGGGCTTGGAGTCCAAGTTTGGACGAAGACCTGGACCCCTTGACAGGAGAGTGGTGAGTTGGTCCTGCTTGTGCCTGGGATACAAGCAGGACGTGTGTTTTGAGGTACTCAACTGGGCTACATTGGTTCACGAATCACCGTGTAATACGGTACAACTTGTCTACGATCCAGCACCATAGTAAGAACTGGAAGATGAAAGATGGTGAAATAGATCTGATTGCTCAACTCTTACTTGAAAGTAGAACATGTGCTTATATATAATGGTTATATAATGAACTAATCATGACTGCTAATAAAACACCTACATAATGATTCACTACTAATATTGTTTTTCGTAAAAAGGAAACCCAGCAAACCATAAAACTTATCATATCCTTTAGAGTCGAGAAATTATTCCCACTAGTCGGGTAAGTCTTGCGAGTACATTGTGTACTCAGGGTTTATTTACCCCTGTTGCAGGTGCAGCTTGAGGAGTAGCTGTTGTGTGGAGGATTCTTCTGGTGGGCACAGACGGATTCTTGTATCTTATCGTTAGATGTTTATTTCAATTCCGCTGTTTAAATTTCACACTCTGAACTTGGTATTGTAATAATATATTTTTGAGAACTATTGTTGTATGAAATGGACTAAGTGATGTAAACTCGTTCTTATTATTGGATCCTGAGGAAAAACGTGGATGGTTCGAGTTCTTCCTTGGAGTGTGCTCGACGGAACCGTCCGATGTAGCCAGCTTTCGGGATGCTTAGTGTCTGGTGGAAGACGAGCGTCTCCGAAAGCGTGCTATTCCGGATAGTTCTGCCACATGCTTCTACTTCTAGATTATATGTTAGAGACGACGACTTTCGATCTCTTCATCGAGCATGCTCGGTTCGCCTAATAGAATTGTTGTTATCTCGTTTGTTTGTTTTTTAAGAGAATGCCTTTTATAGCTAGAGACTAAATTATAATAAAATTTAGTTGCGTGCATAACTCTTTTTTCTCGAATACGCAAGAGCATTGCATACAATTGTATTAAGAGGATAGAAGTTTGAAATACAAGAGAGGTCGTTACCAGCCCGACGATTACCTAAAAGGGACTACATTTTTTATTATGTCAACCTTGGAACCATTGGGATCAACATAGACTACGATCTAGCTGAGATACCAGACCGTGCTGCTCCACCAGTCATCGTCCTGGATGCTGGGAACAGCTCATCAAGTGCCTCGACGTTTGCTTCCGATAGGGTGCCCTGGAAGTACGAATCGTACGAACGCTTGGCTATAGAGGAAATCGGCGCTGAAGGTGCCAGGATCCCTATCATCTTCATGAGCAGTACTTCGCCGCGTTTGGAAGCTGAGATGTGGTCCATCTGCTGAGCAGTAATATGTCTGCTCCTAATGGGTAGAGTGGTCCACTTTGGTGCCGGCTTGTGCTTGGGTGGGGAGTTGATGTGAGGTGGCTGCCTCATTACGTGGACCTCCTCAATGAACCTAGCCAGTCGCTTGGCGGCCTCCCTTGGTGTGGGCGTGCCCTCGGCGTTCAGCTCATCGGTTGCCTGAACGACGCCTGTTGTCGTGCCGTCGGCCGCCTCAGCTTGCGGTCCGGCATCCATGCACTGGCCGAAGGCATAGCTGTGGTGTATGCCTTTGATGGTGAGGACAGTGGGACCTCCGTCCCCTCCTGGTCGCCAGTTGCGCCCGCATTATCGACCTGTCCCGCCATGGTTGACGCTGCATCACTGGCCGCCTCATGCCCCATGGACGGACGACCATCCTTGCCGTTGCCTGGGACGCCGGAGGGTGGGGTTGTTGCGCCGCGGGGACCACTGAGGGCGACAAGCTCGTCCAGCATCGGATCGACCGAGACGATTCAAGCGGGAGGCCCTGCGCCCTCGCACATTGCCTCCGCCAACGGATCTAGCTCGAGGAAGCAGCGTGCGGTAGTCGAAGCAGTGGCATCGTTGACGTAGTCGGCAGGCGTGCCCACGCTGATGTCCAGCGTTGGCTCACCTCGGCGCCGCCGACATCGTCGGCGTCGTCTCCGGCTCTGACAGATGCCGTCGGCGCACCCCACGGCACCCAGCACGGTCCCATCCTAGGTCGGTGGACTGTCGGGAGGTGCATAACTCTTGCAGAAACCAAAATGAAATTCTTTCAAAGAAGATGTAGCTCTTCATGATATCTCTGATGTCCTGATCTATGATTGTGATTTTGCAAATGGGAATGGGCCTTCTCAAGAACGACACAGTTCGGTTAGCTAAATTTTGCTTTTGTCAGATAGTCTAATTAGACCGTGTCCGAGCGGTCCCATTTCACGGTCCATAGAAAACGCGATGAGGCCCATAGTAGTTGTAAAGTTGGCATGAAAGCCTACAAAAGGAGGTCCAAATACTTCCATCCCCACTATTGGGCTGGATGGTCATTTCCGTCGACGGAAGCAAGAGTAAGTGAGATATTTTCCTAAAAAAAAAAGTGAGTGATGGGGAAGTAAGGGAAGGAGGCGGCGCGGGAGCGGCGCGAGCAGCGCCGCCGCGAGGTCACCCTCCTCTGGGCGCTCCCCTACGAGCCCCACCAGAGATGGTTGGACCGCCTGGCGCCGCGGGCCGTAGCGGTGGTCACGGGCGCCAACCGCGGCATTGGCATCGAGGCCGCCCGCCAGCTCGCGTACCACGGCCTCCACGTCGTGCTCGCCTCCCGCGACGCCGCCAAGGGCCAGGAAGCGGCGGGGAGGATCCTGGCGGAGGCTCCGGACGAGGCAAGCGTGAGCGTGGAGTCATGGCAGCTCGACGTGGCGGACGCCGCGTCGGTGCAGGCCTTCGCGGCCTGGGCGGTGGAAACCCACGGCGGCATCCATGTCCTTGTGAGCGCATTCTCATCGCCTTACCTGCCTCATGTACCAGTGATTAGGTTCTTTGCTTTCACAATACTAGTCCTAGTTTTCTTTTTCAACGAACTACGAACCTAGCAGTAGCAGTTGTTTCTGGAACTTGTACTCAATATAATCGATTGGTAGAAAAGGAGAAGAGACAGGTGCGGTGACACCACCACCAATTCAGAAATAGACTGTTATTTAGAGATCTTGCCTGAAGGCCCTATGTTAGATGTATTGTAACCAGGCTACAGGTTGACAATGCAGGTGTAAACTTCAACAAAGGAGCAGGCAGATAATTCTGTTGAGTTTGCCGAGCAAGTTACCGAGACAAATTACTATGGCACAAAGCGGATGATTGATTCTATGATACCACTAAGCACTAATGAAACACTCTCCGTATGGTGCTCTGATAGTGAATGTCAGCTCAAGGCTTGGTAGAGCCAATGGCAGACGGAATGTAAGTTTGTTCGACAGGTTCCTATCTTCCCAGTGTGATCTGATGTGGCCTTCTTAATATGTGCAGTGCTGTTGTGTTGACATTTACTTTACCCTTTGATTTTTTTATTTACTATTCTGTCAGAGAATTGGTGATGCAAGCCTAAGAGATCGTCTGTTGAAAGATGATTGTTTATCAGAGCAGCTAATTGATGAGATGATCACGAAATTTCTTGAACAAGTCAAGCAAAGTACATGGTCCTCCAATGAGTGGCCACAGATGTACACAGACTATTCGATCTCAAAGCTTGCTGTTAATGCTTATACACGACTCATGGCAAGGAGGCTCTCGGATCGTCTGAAGGCCAAAAGATGTACATTTACTGTTTCTGCCCTGGCTGGGTAAAAACTGCCATGACTGGTTGGGAAAGGAATATTTCTGCCGAAGAAGGTGCTGACACAGGTGTATGGCTTGCCTTATTACCTCAGGAACCCACAAATGGGAAGTTCTTTGCCGAGAGACGTGAGATAAGCTTCTAAGGTGACTACCTTATCCATATTCTTTCCCCACCTGCAAATAGGAGAAATTAGGACTCAAGATCTTAAATCCATCTTCACAAACTGCTCTGATTGCTACTCACCATCATCCATCGAGGCATCGAGATTCACAAGCCATAATAATTTTCCCAAACACAGAAGCCATAATATTTTGTGTATTGCTATGGATAGAAGAAAGTACCAAGTGTACTATGGAGATTGCTCATTGTTCTGTTACTTAATTCTGTAAATGGTTTATTTTTCGCAATGGTTGCAGTTTAGGTTACTGATCCTTTACCGTTCCTGTGTGATCTATTTAGGCGATTCATGATTTTGGTGCTTTGGAGCTATCACATGACAAGCAGATGTTCAAGATCATTAAAGGGGCACCACTATGTCACATTAAGGATTTAATGGAAAGCCCATGACCTCAAATTTTGTTAATTAAGGTGATCTACGAAATGTTTGTTGGCTTTGAATGAAGTATCATAAAAGCAGAATGTTTATCAGGACCACTAAAATGGCAACTTGGGAAGCACGGCGAGTTGGCTGATTCCTGCGTGTGCTACAAGCTTACAGCAGTGACCTGTATTGAAGTGCACATTTCACCAACGGTTGCGTTGGGTTCAGGCCACATCACTAGATGAGTTTTCCTTCGTCAGTATTACATGTTTGGTTGGTTTAGCATAACAAGGTGAATGTACAAGTGCAGCATGGCTGTACCATCAAATCATTCAGACTGAAGTGGTTTTCATATAGGAGTAGGAAGCAAGCACGTGCATATTATTTGGGCCTTGGAGATGGAGGCAAATTGGCTATAAGCATGTCGGTGTCAGGGTCAATTGAACAGTCCCTCAACCAAGGTTATCCCCTACCGATAGAAGATGCAAAAAGTCATGCATGAATGTATCCATTGCGCTTTCAGTCGTCGGAACCTGAAAATTCGGGCAAGGCCATGGTGGCCGGAAAACAAGGCAGCATGATGCTGCATAGCTGGTATTCAGTGGGTCATCCACTTGTGGGCACCACGGGCTTGTGGTGGGGGAAAGGAAAACTCATTGGTGTGATGGTGTCAAAGATGTTGGTTTAATCCAGCAGCTGCTGCTCCCTGCACATCCGGTGCTCAGGTTTCTGTCATTCTATGGCACATAACCTTACCTGCCTGTCTGCAAGTTGCATCCTCTAATGGAATTGTGCCATGCGCCATGGATTTGTCCATGTACACGGATTGTTTCAGTCATTAGCTGATGTAAGCTGGAGTTGCCACAGGCAAACCCTATTGATTGATTGATCCAATAAGCATGTCTTCCTTTTTTTTATTACACAAAGGAAAGGAGGGCCACTTGGAATACTTGGATACCTAGGCTATTGCTCCTGCATTTGGCGTGTCGTTCTCGTGCCGGCGGTTGCGATATCAACTGGCCGAATATCAATGATGCATCAGTAGTTACGTTCATAGTTGTTAAGGCGTCGCTATACCGACGCCATATCGTCGCCATATCGCCGTGGTGTTTTTCTGGCTCTCGCACGGCGACGCCACGGCTCGGCGTGTATGGCGTCCGCCATATAGCGCCGTGGCGTCCCCTGCGGCGCCGATTTGGCGTCCTGTGGCGCCTTTGTGCGCTGTGGCGGGCGCAATAGACGGTGAGGGTGAGGGTAAGGGTGAGGCCGTGAGAGTACCTGTATAGGCCGAGTGGTCGATTGGAGCCCTCCGAGACCGAGCCCAAGACGCAACCTCAAGCAGCCCTCAGAGCCGCCGCGCCGACGTCGGCCCGCCGGGGACGATCGCCCTCCGCCTCCCCTTCGAAATCCATCCGCCGCTCTCTGTCGGCCTACCACCGCCCTCCGTTGGCCTCCCCGCCCTCCGTCGGCCTCGCTTGAGAGCCCGAGCCGCCGCCCCCGCTGGATCTCCCGAGCCGCCCGGCCCTCAAGCTTCAGGCCCCCAGTACTCTCTCTCTCTCTCTCTCTCTCGTCTCTCTACTCGTGAGTTGAAGTGTTGAGCTATTGATCGGTCATCGCCTCATCGATGAAGTGGTCTCGTTAAGCATTGGCTAGTGTTCCACCGCTTCGGCAGTGCGGTGAAGTAGCGTCTTGTTGTTGAAGCTCTCTAGTCTCTAGTTTGCTTTGCTGGCGAGTAGTGAAGTGGTGATTTGGTGAAGTAGTGAAGTAGTGAAGCTCTCTAGTCTCTACTCTGTTATGCACTTTGCTCAAGAACGGAGAACATGACACTGTTATCTTTGAAGTAGTGAAGTAGTGAAGGTCTTGATTTGATTGGTCAAGACTCAAGAACGTATGCTTCCTTTTTTTTTGCGTAACATGGCTACTCAAGGGGGCCGGAAGCGCGGAGGCCTCGGACACCGCATCAAATATTGATCCAAAGATCGATCCAAAGCGGCCCGGCAAAAAGTCAAATGATCCCGGTGGAAATATGGATTTTGGCCAACCATTGGCAATAGAGATGTTGTGCGATGTTGCTTATGTGATAGAAGAATAATCTGGAGGAATTACAAGGCTCAAGGAGCATCTTGTGGGTGGTTATGGAGATGTTCGAAAATGTGTCAAAACCACAACAACTATTGCACGAGAGATGCAAGATGCTATGAAGAAGAAGAAGAGACCACTCGTCCTTGATGATGAAGAAGGAGAGCAACAAGGGAAGATCATGATGTGATTGTTTTGACAGAGGAGTCCCAAGATGTTGCTAGAAGCATTGTGCATCCTAGTTCAGGACAAATGCCAAAAGGAAACAATCCACATTGAAGTTCAAAGCTCCAAAAGAGCCCAAAGACCAAGTCAGTTGGTTCAATGCTTCGAGAACTCCAACAGAGGTTGTGGAAGAAAGACACTCAAGGGTCCTTCTCAAATCAAGATTCAAGCTAGCATGAGGACAAAGGAAGAAAGAGAAGTCATCAACTTAGAGTGGGCCAGTGTTCTTTTATGAGTGTGGCATACCATTCAATGCCGTAAATTCTAGACAGCTTGAGATTGCTATAGAGGCCACTTTGCAAGATGCAGTTACAGGTATAAGCCTCCTACCTACCATGAGCTTAGGGAGCCATTGCTCCAAAAGGTTGTTAAGGAGACATGATTTGAGGAAGAAACATGAGGATGCATGGAAACAATATGGCTGCACATTGATGTCGATGGATGGACGAATAGGAGGGGCATCATTTGATCAACTTTCTAGTCAATAGTCCGGAGGGACTTTCTTCTTGGAGTCGATTGATGCATCAAGTGAAGTTCATCATCGGTGATGTTAGCTGATTTGTTAGAGAAGAAAATCATGGACATTGGAGTAGATAAAGTTGTGCAAGTTGTCACCGATAATGGAGCTAACTATAAAGCAGCGGGCAAACTTCTCATGGAGAGGTTTCCTACACTTTATTGGACTCCTTGTGCTGCACATTGCTTAGACCTTATGTTGGAAGACGTAGGGAAGTTGAAGGAATTTAAGAAGCCTATCTCACGTGCTGATGTGTCACTACTTTCATCTATAGACATGGAAGACTTCTTAGTGCAATGAGGGAGAAGACAAATGGGAGGGATCTTGTGAGACCCACAGCCACTCGTTTTGCTACCACATTCCTCACCTTGCAGAGTTTGTACAAGCACAAAGATGCATTAAGATTTATGTTTACCACCGAGGATTGGACTGGTTGCAAACTAGCAAAGACAGAGGCCGGGAAAAAAGTGTATGATATTGTGCTTTCTAGGGAGTTTTGGAACTCCGTTGAGGATTGCCTTAGAGCTTCTCTACCACTTATCATTGTGTTGAGGGTGGTTGATGGTGATGAGAGGCCTGCCATGCCAGAGGTTGCTGCTCTCATGAATCATGCAAAAGAGAAGATCAAGGCTAGCTTCTCTACTGAAAACAAGAGAAGCTTGCTCAACAAGATCATACAAATTATTGAGAGCCGTTGGGATAGGCAAATGGATACCCCACTCTATGGCGCTGCCCTCTTTTTGAACCCAGGAAAATTCTATACCATCCAAAAGGAGAATGATGAATATATTGG